AATACTCAGTGTTTATTAGCACAACATAGGCAGTTTTCCAGTTGATACTTTAGTGCATTTTACAGTGGTATCACTTGTTTTATGCACACACTAAAAGAAATCCTGTTGTAATTTTACAATTGAAAAATATAGTTTAATATTTTTATTATGTTTACTTTTTATCATCATGGTTTTTATAAGGATTGCTTTTTTATTGTAGTAGTCATAGAGATAAATTTTGAATCGTAATAAAAATATTCATTTCTATAAGAAGTGCTTTCTTTTCTGTTTTTTAAAAACATGTGGCCTTTCATTTTAGATTTTTCACACTTTTAAAGATACAGTATGAGAAGCCATGGCCTGGTCTGACTCAAATAACAACAAAACTGAGAAATATGTTATTGTAGCATGGCTAGCAATTTATTTTTATGAATATAGGCAAGAAGGTAGAAACCTCAGCTGTCAATCCTAATCTCACTTCCCCTAGAACTCTATAAAAAAAAAAAAAACAGGAAAACTATGGTTCTAGACTGCTCCAGCCTCGCATAGTCCCTATATGTCATTTTCTAAGGCATATCCACCATGACTGATGGACTCAAAGCAGTGGCATCCACCTGACTGAGTTGGTACTATTCACAGTTGTAGGAAACTGAAAGCTCATGTTTGTAATTGATGAGCCCCACAAAGCTCTACATTTCATTCTTCTAGGAAACTCCATTTCTGTTCTCTCACGATTATTATTTCTATAAATGTACTATTTGTTTTGTACAAAATTTAAAGAAAACTTTAAGTGCTATCAATCAAGCTAAGCATACCATATATGATGTGTGCTAGATATTAAAGATTACATTAATGTTGAACCAGAAACTGATATGTTTGTCCTTCCATTCTTGAATATCATTTCAATTCCAACTTGATTCAATTCAATTATAACTGTAAAAGTGTAAGGATTGGTTTAGGAGATGTAAGGTAATTTCTAAGTTTCATTCCATCTATAAATCTCTCTAATTTAACGAAAACTTCCCTAAAAATTAATTTTAGTAACAAAGATAGACAAGAAAGCATGAAAGCACCCACAATGTGGTAGGTAACTTAGCTTGAAATATCTAAAAACAAATTTTGTCCTCTTGAGTTATATCTTATCAGATTCCACACTGTCAGTGTTTCTTTTATGCTATCCAAAAAGAGGAAGAGAGTACACTTGTCCTTGATGAGATAATGTCTTTATTTTTCTGTCTCCAGCAGCCAATCTGATGAAATTGATTTTTATTTGGCAAATAGCAAAGAAAAGTTAATTTTGTTACACATCATTCAAACCAAATGACATGTCTGAATATTTTTATTAGGAGCCGATGTAATATATTAAGAATAAGGTTTTATATGAGCGGAGAATCAGCCCAGAATTTGAGGTTGCTGTAAACTAGCTGATGCCACGCACTCTAGCCCAGCAACAGAGTGAGACTCTGTCTCAAAAAAAAAAAAAAAAAAAAGAATTTAAAAACTAAATGAATACTGTATTATAATGAGTTGATAGAATTTGGAGCTCTTAGCACTTCCCCTCAATCATATGTCTCTATTCTTAAATTGTGTGTGCTCCCTCATGAGAATGGATGAGACACATTATCTGTTGATGTGACAAGTAAATTAACATTTAATTCTAGAAGATTATTATTTAATAAGCAAAATATGGATGGAGATATCATTTGTTTAAGGTAAGTGCGCCTCACCAAGTAACTAGGGTTCATTCATCAACTAGTTTGTAACAGGGAGATTTTATCTAAATATTTTGTCTCACTTTCTTCCTTTTTCATGTCTATCTAGCATGGTTGTTTGATCATTAAATAAGCTAGACATATAAAAATTGACATAAAATACCTATTATAAATATCCATGATTTACTTTTCCAGCACTCTGTATTATTGACATAATTAAAATGAAATACTTAAGTGTTATATCAGAAGAAATAGATACAAAACTTAATAGCAAGCCAAAGTAAATTAGTCTGATCATATTTATGATTCTTAGACTATATAATGCACTTCAACTTGAAAGAACTTGAAGAAAAGAAAAACAACACAATTCACAAATTCATTCTACTCCAGTGTTCATTAGACAACTGTGAATTCATAAAATTATTTGTAAATTAGATTGTGCTTTACCAGGAAGTATACACACATGTGAAATACTTATAGGCATAAAAAGCATATTTAAATGGGATATATTTTAGCAGTTGTTTCATAATAATAACATAAAATTCTTTATTTTATGAGTACCAAAGAAACTAGAGATGCAATATACAAGTCTGTAACCTTTATTCTCAGAATAAGGGAAATATATTTTATCAGAGATTACATTACATTAATTTTATTAGCATAGTATTATAAAACATAAAACAAACAGAGTGGGTTCCTAAAGTATGGATCTGAAAATTACTTTGGTGCCCATGTAATTTGGAATATGACAGAAGCAAAAAGCTGTGCTCAACCCCTGAACTTAAAATAAAGCTCTCTGGAAATCATGTTTGATTTATAAAATAGAAAATAACCACCGTTCTGAATTCCATTGAGGGGTCTCAGCAAGTAAAAAATATATATTTTTAACACATTTAGGAAGGTTAGAAAGTGCCAACAAAAATTTAGTTTTAGTAATTGGACAGCAAATGCAATAGGTCCAATTGAACATTCTACATTTATAAACAAAGCAGTAACGTCTTTCTGAAGTTCCCCTGCTGAGAGATTATTAATTAGATATATACATTAACATCTGCATATTAAAGAGCAAAACACCTCACTGTCATGTTTCTTTCTAATAAGTAGGTAAATCCTAAAGATGCATATTGCTCTAACAACAGAATAGTGTATAAACTTTGATTGTTTCATGCATTTTTTGATAATGATTAATGTATCCCACCTTGCCTTGATCCCCCTCAATAAAATGATGTACAAGCTTTGCAGTAGACAACCACATGAAGTACACCTATAGAATATCACAGCACATCCATATATGAGTGCAAAAGAGGAAGAGATAAAAGCTCAGAACAAGCTATAGAACCAGAGTTTTGTGTTAGCAATAATAGGTGAATAATGAAAGAAAAGAAAGTAAAAATGTGTATTATCATATTGGTCTTACTCCATAGATCTCCAGTCAGGGTGTGGGTGATGGGTTCATGGAATTCCGGGCTCTTTGTCTGTGCTTGGCAAGGAATATTTTAACATCTGAATACTTCAAGCTCCTCTAGATGCAGGCAATGTCTAAAAGAGGAAAAACTTTTTAGTTAATCATTTGTGATCATATCAGAGTATTAAGCAGAAATGAATAGCTTTACTTTACTAAACTTCTGTATAATATGCAGGCCAGCTACAGTGTTTCATTGCATGCATTAGTAATACTGGACAATATACAGTTACTAAAATAGTATATATTGAGAAGAAAAATTGATAAGAAAGAAAAAGAATGAATTATTTGAAGTATAATTTACGTAAAATTATTCCAATATATATACTTAATGTTCAGACCATACATGTTTGCATCTGCATATACTCGTTAATAATTTTAAATGTAAAGTAGTATTATGAAAATCCCCTTCATCCATCGAAGATAAATTGACCTTTTAGGCAAGTCAGTTATCCAATCTGCAGGCACTGTTTTACTCTGCATTAAATGAGATTAATCTTTATTACATGATTCAACATGTATTTTTCTTTTACCCTTTATGTCAGAAATATGATAAATTCAAAACCAGCTGAAAAGAGTTTGTTTCATTTGTCTGTTTGTGGTTTGGCACAATCTGAACCATGTCCACAAAGACTAGTCTCAGACCAGACTCTGCAGCAATTCATGTGCTTTTGAGGTAGCCTAAATCTTTTATCTCATGTGAATAAGGAGTAAGAAGTGTGAACTATGAATAGATTCAAGTCTTACTATGACATTATAGTCCTCTCAGAGTTTTCTTTATTTTCTGTTCTTCTTGGAACATTATCCAGATATCTCAAATCTTGTTATCAAATAAGGTAACTGATACAGTTCTGAGTAGCATCTGTCTAATGATCTGAAAGAGGATAACAGTAACTTTCTCTGCTTGGGAAGTCAGTCTTACAATTCAAACATCTTTCTCTAATCTTTTCAGTTAACTCTAATATACATAAATACACACACACATATGTACATATTGTATTAGTCTCAAAATACATACAAAGACTGATATGTGGACAATTACATCTCCTGTTGAACTTCTTGATATCAATTTACAAATGTGTACATATACTGAATAAATTATTTTGTAGTCTTTAATCTAAATCTATATAAGTTAGCAGCCAAATTATCAATTTACAACTAATATCAAAAGTATACAAGAAAAAAATACAAGATTGTATCATCTGCACATCTTTACTTTGACATATTACTCCATTAAAATAGAAAATCTTTCAGTTAGACAATAGACATTCATACAGTATCTATCTTCATTGCAGCTCTCATTTGTTAGTATTTTTTTCTTTCTTTTGTGAAAAAAACACTTGGGTAAGAATGTTTACCATGTTATGAAACATTTATTGTATAAATATTTTAAAAAGCAGTTAGCAGCTCTCTCAAATTAACACCAAATATAATATTAGAAGTTTAAATATGTAAAGGCTTTGGATAAACTGAAAAGTATAAAATATTTAGTTTTAAGACATTTGTTGCTGCTATTAATCTCAAAAACTATGAAATACCACTTAAACTTTAAATTGTTTGCTAAACACTTAGAATTCAGTTATATTGTCCTAATTGGTTGTTTTCCTATTTTCATGCCATGCATGATATGTTAGATATATTTAGGTAAGAATCCTAAGGCTTGGCTCCCCAGCTCTGCTGTCTCACTTGCTCCACAAAATTTCTTTCTCCAGATTAGGTAGACATTTAGATAATACCATAGTCTTCTGTGTAAAATAACAGACCCTTCAGTAGCTTCTCATTGCACTGTAAAATTTAATGTACACTCTATTATGGCCTTATATTTTCATTTTCTAGATATCCCAAGCTCGAGGTTTTGCACATATGGTTTACCCCATCTGTAACTTCCTTTTTTTTTTCTTTCCATGGACCACAAATTTCCATCATTCAGACCTAAATTTAAAAAGCATTTTTTCATAGAATCCTTCTCAGCTACTATGTCCACCACCATGTCTCTGGACTTCATATTATTGCCTGACACATAGTAAACATTCATTACATACTTTTGAATAATTACACAGAGGTGCAAACACTCATCCTCCAAGGGTGGAGTAAGGAGAGGCATCTGTCAGATGTAGGCAAGAATTGGTGCAAAATCTGAAGAAAAGTGAAAAACAATAATAAAACCAATGTAACGTCTATCTCCTTTTAATTATCATATCGTGCCAGCAATTCTAAACAGCTTTGATAATAGAATCCTCCTTCACAGGAAATTTTCCTAATGACCTAAGTTGTAATTGTTGTGGTTACTGTTGAGTTTTAATAAAGTACATTTAACCTTCCAGTTAGTAATGTTTACTCATTTAATAATTTTGAGTACACATTATGTCTCCAAACTCTACAGTGCTTCGATAGATTTGAAATAAACACAGAGATTGTTGAGTATGAAGTAATAGAATATAAGATGCTTCAATTTATTTAATCTTATGTGCCTACTTGAAATTTTATTGATTTTTAAATTATAATTTTATTAATGTATAAAATTTAAAATAGTGAAATGTGCAAAGTGAGGTATATTTTCCTTTAATTTACAATGGTCTTAAAGGTATTGATTACTTTTTTCTCTCTGTGTTTTAAATTTGTTTTATTTCTTATTTCTACTTAAAATCACTGACTATTAGTCACATGAAGTTTAAGAAAGGGAAATTAGTGTTCTTGCATTTCTTTTTGAGTCATTATTATTATACATTTAATTTTATTACAATAAAAATAATTTTTCTATAGAAGAGCTGAGTGTTAAAAATGATCTGCTCTGAATTTTGCTATTATTACACCTTGGGAATGGCATCTAACTTTTCTCATCCTCACATTACCATTGAATTAAAGATTTTAGAGGCCAGGCAAAGTGGCTCACACCTGTAATCCTAGCACTCTGAGAGGTCAAGATGGGAGGATCACTTGAGGTCAGGACTTCGAGACCAGCCTGAGCAAGAGGAAGACCTTGTCTCTACTAAAAATAGAAAGCATTAGCTGAGCCTGATGGTGAGTGTGTATGGTCTCAGCTACTGCGGAGTTTGAGGCAGGAGGGAATTGCTTGAGCCCAGGAATTTGAGGTTGCTGTAAACTAGGCTGATGCCACGGCACTCTAGCCCAGCAACAGAGTGAGACTCTGTCTCAAAAAAAAAAAAAAAAAAAAGAATTTAGAAAACTAAATGAATACTGTATTATTAAATGAGTTTGATAGAATTTGGAGCTCTTAGCACCTTCCCCCCATCAATCAGTATGTCTCTATTCTTAAATTGTGTGTGCCTCCCTCATGAGAATGGATGAGACACATATTATCTGTTGATTGTGACAAGTAAATATTAAACAATTTAATTCTAGAAGATTGTATTATTTAATAAGCAAAATATGGATGGAGAATATCATGTTGTTTAAGGTAAGTGCTGCCTCACCAAGTAAACTAGGGTTCAGTTCATCAACTAGTTTTGTAACAGGGAGATTTTATCTAAATACTTTTTGTCTCACTTTCTTCCTTTGTTTCATGTCTATCTAGCATGGTTGTTTTGATCATTAAATAAGCTCAGACATATAAAATATTGACATAAAATTACCATTTATAAATAGTTCCTATGATTACTTTTCCAGCAACTCTGTTATTATTGACATAATTAAAATGAAATACTTAAGTTGTTATATCAGAAAGAAATAGATACCAAAAGAATATATCAATGCAAGCAAAAATAAATTAGTCTGAATCATATTTATGATTCTTAGACTATAATAATTGCACTTCAACTTGAAAGAAACTTGAAGAAAAGAAAAAGCAACACCAATTCACAAATTCATTCTACTCCAGTGTTATCATTAGACAGCTGTGAATTCATAAAATTTTATTTGTAAATTAAGTGTTTGGCTATTACCAGGAAGTATACACATATATGAAAATACTTATAGGCATAAAAAGCATATTTAAATTGGGATATATATTTTAGCAGTTGTTTTTCAATAATTAATAACATAAAATTCTTTTATTTTATGAGTAACCAAGATGAACTAGAGATGCAATATACAAGTCTGTAACCTTTATTCTTCAGAATAAGGGAGAAATCTATAGTTTATTCAGAGATTACATTACATTAATTTTTAGCTTAGCATAGTATTATAAAACATAAAACAAACAGAGTGGTTCCTAAAAGATGGATCTGTAAAATTACTTTTGGGCTTCATGTAAATTTTGGAAGTATGTACAGAGAGCCAAAAAGGCTGTGCTCAACTCCTGAACTTAAATAGATAAGCTCTCTGGAAATCAGTGTTTGATTTTATAAAATAGAAATAACCACCTTTTCTAATTCCATTGAGGGGGCTCTCAGCAAGTAAAAAAAATATATTTTTAACACATTTAGGAAGGTTAGAAGTGCCACAAAATTTTAGTTTTAATATTACCAGGCAATGCAATAAGGCAATTTGAACATCTCTACATTTATAAACAAGCATAACTCTTTTCTGAGTTCCCTGCTGAGATTATTATATAGATTAATAATACATAACATTCTGCAGATTTTAAAGAGCAAAACTAGCCTTCACCTGTCATGTTTCTTTCTAAGTGAGTAGGTATCCTAAAGATGCATATTGCTCTAACAACAGGATAAGTTGTAAAACTTTGATGTGTTTCATGCATTTTTTGATAATGGATTAATTTATCCCACCTTGCTCTTGATCCACTCCCTCCAATAAAATGATGTACAATGCTTTGCAGTATAGACAACCACATGAAGACACTATAGAATATCACAGCAGCATCTGCTATTATGAGGCAAAGAGGAGAGATAAAAGCTTCAGAAGCAAGCTTAATAGAAACCAGAGTTTTGTGTTTAGCAATAATAGGTGATAATGAAAGAAAAGAAGTAAAAATTGTGTTTTATATCATTATTGGCTGTTACTCATAGACTCTCAGTCAGGGGTGTGGGTGTGGGTCATGGAATTCTGGGCTCTTTTGCTGTGCTTGGCAAGTGAATTATTTTAACATCTGAATACTTCAAGCTCCTCTAGATGCACAGAAATGTCTAAAAGAGGAAGAAACTATTTTTAGGTTAATGCATTTGTGATCATATCTAGAGTATAAACAGAAATGAAAAGCTTTACTTTACTAAACATTCTGTATAATATATGCTAGGCCAGCTACAGTGTTTCATTGCATGCATTAGTAATACTGGACAATTAAACAGTTTTACTAAAATAGTAGTATATATTTGAGAAGAAAATCGATTAAATGATAAGATAAAAATAGAATGAATTATTTTGAAGTATAATTTAGTAAAATTATTCAGATATATATAGCTTAATGTTTAGCAACCATACATGTTTGCATCTGCATATCTCGTTAATAATTTTTTAAAAGTGTAAAGATGATAGTTATGAAAATCCCTCTTCATCCATGAAGATAAATTGATCCTTTTTTAGGCAGAGTCAGTTATCCATCTGCAGGCACTGTTTTACTCTGCAGTTAAATGAGATTAATCTTTATTTACATGGATTCAACCTGTATTTTTCTTTTTACTCCCTTTATGTCAGAAATATATAAACTGTGAAATCAAGTTTTAGCATTCAGTGATTTCTTAAAACATTAATTTAGTAACAGGACACAGAATAGCATTTGTGTGTTTTTTAGTCACTTGTGAAAATAATTTCAACTTTAGTGGCTTCCAGAGCAAGATATGATTCCCAGGTTAGATTTTATTTGTATATACAATGTATATCAAGTCTATATATACATGATGTATGGAATTAAATTATTCGCTCTATTGTGTGGTAGAAACTACTATGATGTGTTTTACTTTGGGATCTTTATGTTAATTTACCTTTCAAAAAGCTAAACCACACTTCCAAATGATTGCTCTTGAAAAATCCAAGCAGACTCAGCAGGAAGTCTCGAAATTTCCCCTCTTCACCTGCTAGCAAAACATCCAAAGATATCTTTTCTCAGTAAGTAGAAGTCCTTATAATCTGCCTCCAATGGAGGGTTCCTTATACCCTTATACAGGAGAGAATCTAGGAATGACTCCCTGACTATGAGAATTCCCTGCAGGGAGAAGGCATTGGAAATATATTTAGCTCCACGAGCTGTCACACTGTGAATACATGAGGAAGAGAGACCTGCAGAGGTCTCATTACCAGAATCTTCTAATAGTGCCATGGCAGCAGTAACACACAACAAAACCTGGTGTCACAGACAGGAATAAAGTATTACTTTAGATTTCCAATGCCTAATTTTAAAAGACAGGTCAATTTTCTGTGTTTCTTATGGAAATATCTGGCTCATTATTTTTTTAGTCATATCATATATTCCCCACAATGGGAAACCTTACATGACTAGATAACTAATATGTTAATATCATCTCCTTTGTAGACCGAAACTACAAAGTCTTAAAGGTGGTTAAACTAGACATTTACAAAGAATATTTTTTAAAAAGCAACTCCTATTATGGGTGATATCAATATTCAAGACTGAATTATTTTGCAAATAAATGCATTTTCCATAATTATTTTTCATTATTTTGATAATAACTTTTTTTCCTCCTGAATCTGCTTCTTCTTTAATTTCTCGCTCTTAAATCCCTGCACAGGCTTGTGAGGGAGACTGGTACATGAAGGACAATGATGATGCCTGACAAAGATGAGGAAATCAAACATTTTCAAATACTCAGTGTTTATTAGCACAACATAGGCAGTTTTCCAGTTGATACTTTAGTGCATTTTACAGTGGTATCACTTGTTTTATGCACACACTAAAAGAAATCCTGTTGTAATTTTAAAATTGAAAAATATAGTTTAATATTTTTATTATGTTTACTTTTTATCATCATGGTTTTTATAAGGATTGCTTTTTTATTGTAGTAGTCATAGAGATAAATTTTGAATCGTAATAAAAATATTCATTTCTATAAGAAGTGCTTTCTTTTCTGTTTTTTAAAAACATGTGGCCTTTCATTTTAGATTTTTCACACTTTTAAAGATACAGTATGAGAAGCCATGGCCTGGTCTGACTCAAATAACAACAAAACTGAGAAATATGTTACTGTAGCATGGTTAGCAATTTATTTTTATGAATATAGGCAAGAAGGTAGAAACCTCAGCTGTCAATCCTAATCTCACTT